ACGATATTGGTTAATAAATATTGTTGTAAAAATTTTTAATTTTTTTCAAATACATCATTTATACGGGTGTTAAAAATTTAAAAATTCCTAAACCATACGTTGCTCTGACAAACCATGTCATTACATATAACTTGTAATTGAATAGGGTAATTTACAAAATTACTAATATAATTTCAAGTTGTATAATAATTTCTATGTTCACACTTGTGTACTATCTTGTTTAGTAAAATTTTGTTTTAATTTTTGTTGTCGGTTTTTTTTATACTATTTATTTTTAGTATGCAAAGAATATTCCATTTTGCAGCAATTACTGTAATACCTAGTAAAACTGCATACATCATTATTTCATGATTTGTATATAATCAGTTTTGTATACATTTGATCTATCGATTTATTAACCTGCTATTTATAAGTTAATTAAACTTTAAGTAAATTAAATATCACTAAAAGCTTGCTTTTATTTGTGTGTTGTAATTACGTTACTCAGTTATAGTTCCAACATTGTTTTACTCATCATTATAAAATACAAACGTTCTTATCAAGAAAAATGTATAATTCATGTTTGTGAATAATTTTAGACAAACTCATTGTGAAAGATTCGACGATCAAGAAAACAAATGGCTATTGGTTATCACTAGAGCTGAGACCTCGAATCGAATTTTTCTATTATTCGAATTATTCGAATAATCGAATAATACTATTCGTATGAAAATAATTCGAATAGTAATACCTAGTTGTGATTTATTTTTGCACTCTCTTGATTCTGTAAATTATAACTAGTTCAATTAGATTCAGGGCGATAGGAACAATTTGTTTTCATTATTGTTACTACGGGTCCGATTCGTAAAAATCAGATTTTAATCATAACCACTTAGTCGAATTCTGTGATAAATACCTAACGTATTACGCCGTGTTTCGTTTTTGAGTTACAATTGAGTTTTGTCTTGCCTGTAATTTATTTATTATACATTTTAAGTAGCAGCCCTGGACAACGGTTTATGGTTCTACGTTGTGTGAGTACCTACTGTATTGTATTTCTAACTAATTTACACTACATTGCCATGTTTTCTGTTTTTCATTGACTTAGAATACTGCTTGGGAATAAACAGAATCATAATCTATATGTATTTGTTTATTACTTATTATTTACTCAGAGTTGAATCGAGTGATCCGAGATCAACGCCACTTTAAATTAATCTAATCGGCAAAATGGTCTAGCTTTATTATTTATCGTGTTAACTTCTTCCCCTACAAGTCATACTTGTAGTTTTTTATTATTTGTCTAATTTAAGTAAATTAAAATTTCGTTTAAATGTTAAAAAAACAAAATATACCACTCAAAAATTTTGTTGGTTTTTATTTTTTAAATAATGTAATTTGTTTCAGGCATAGGATATTAACCATTGTGACCATTAAACGACCATGTCAAACAGTTTTATTAGCTTATTTCATAATTTTTAATTACAAACTTGATTTTTTTTCTCGTAAAGCATTTAGTTCTATTTAAAATCAGGCAATTGAATGTGTTTGATTATGACCGGTTTATTTTACGTCGTCTTTTTAATAGAAAATAAATTGTATATTGTATCTTATATGTTTTTTAGATAAGCTAATTTTACAATTAGTTAACAATCAAACACAGAAACGGTACATTTATAATCTATACTGTAATACAAGCAAAACAATTATGGAAGTTATTATGCAAGAACACTTAAAAAAAAGTTAACAATTCTATGAGTAAGTCATTAATTGGTAAGTCATGTACAAGTATTATTTATTACCGAATAATGTTTGTATTTTTATAGTGCCCTTTCAAATAATATAGCAGAGTCCTGGGGTGAAGGTATACACTTTTTACTTTAATATATTATACAAATGATCATTTTATCGTGATCCACTCAATACCAAAATGTTTTGTAAAAACCATGAACCGATATCATAAACCGATACCCGATAAAACAAATATTTCATATTACCTACTATTGATTATTATAGTCCGAATATCGGTTTCCAAAAAAAACCTATATCACTTGTATTGTCAAATATCGAGTAAATGTTCTAGTTGAATTTTTTACAATTTGTTTGTATGTATCTCTACAAAATTAGTTTTTTTGAAAGTGATTTCATTCACTTTTATAACTTTGATTTACAACAATTCCTGTAGACCTGTGATCTCCCCATACCCACCATGCTCGTTCCCCACTATTAAATTATTAATAATAATTTCAAATTTTTTTAATATGGCTAGTAAAAAAATGTGTATGTCTCTAAATGAAAATGATGTTCAAGGTGTTGAATGTGGTATTGAAAAATTCTAGTTGGAAGATATCGAATCTTTTTTCAAATTTATGGGATCAATGCACTGTAGAAAATACCATCGACGATTTTGTCGGTGGACCACTCCACCTTCAACAGTCATACAGAATTAGGGTCTGTCGACATTCAATCATTATGTGAGTTATGTCGATATGTCATATTTTTTTTCGGAATAATAGATTTGAATTTTAGTTTTCTGTAGTATTCTGAATAATATTAATTTGATTTTAACAAAAATACAATGACTTGTTTATGAACCATATACCTATCCTAAATATTTAAAAAATTATCATTATACTAGTAAATTATATACTATTACTACATACATATTATGTAAAATTAAATTAACTAAGCGTCGATTAATGTAGAGGTACGAAAATATTATGAAACTGATGGTATACTGTAAATATATGTAGGGTACAGAGAAAATATCTTTTTTTTGTATTTGAGAATGTTGCCGGTAATTGAGGGTAGAGATATTTATTATCTCTGATGGGAAATTACCTATATAATATTGAAAATACAGTATTTGGATATTGGGGGAGGATTTCCTTAAAATATCGTTAAAAATGTCTACTTTGATCTTTAAACTATACAACAAATATATGTAGGCTTCAGAGAAGAAAATACTGTCGTTTGTCCTTGTAAAACGATATTAAATTTTAAAAAAAAAACTATTCCGCCCAATAATATATTTATTTTATTTAAGTGTATAAAACTATAGTCTAAACTCCGCTTGCAAGTAATGCAGATACACAATAAATCACAAAAAAAAAAAATGAACCAGCTGTAAAAATAATAACTACAGTGCGAAAAATATTTGCATTATGATTTTTTCGGTCGAAGTAAAAGCCCATCTAACCCTCGCAAGTAGTACATTTAGTTTCAAAAGCTGACCAAGTCGATTGTTGTCAAAGAACCTCTTACCAACTCCAAAATTAAAGTAAGTATCTCTATTAAACTCTAAACATTTTAATTACATTTAAACTAAAAAGGCATGAACCGAATGAGTCAAAAGTAATAGTGTTAAAAACCCGTAATTGGGATTTTTTATTTCTATCGTTTTACACAATCCACATTTTGGAGGTAATTCTATAATATATTTTGGTTATTTTCGTTATATGTCTTGAAGTGTACTGAAGAAATTGTAGTGAAAATAGACAGTTTTTTAAATTGTTTTCATAATAAATCACTAAAGTAGATCTCTTTGCAAACACAACCAAAATTAAAAGAGATTAAAAAAAAAAATTTCATACGTACAAAGTCAAAGAATAAACATTCATCAAAATTATTTAGATTTTCAATCATAACTAAAAAGTTTGAACAGTACAAAGATGAAAAAAAAAACTTTGCAGGGTACTAATTCATATACGTGTACAATTTAATTTTTAATTTTTTTTAGTCGTTAAAAATAAAATTTCAAAATTAAAAACAATTGTTTTTTATTTTACTTAATTTTTAAGAAAAATATTAGTCATGTTTCAAATGAAAAAAAAATTGAATATAAAACCACAAAAAAACATAAAAATTGGATTACAGAAATTTGCAAATAATGATTTCTATATTTATAAGAGCGTAGCTGCGGTCTAGAAAAAAAATGCCTATATTTAATATAAAATACCATTATATACTTTAAACATTTTAATGCTAAAATTTAGGAAAAATATATTTTCTTATTTGATTTTCTAAAAAGCATTTATAATTTATTGTTTGTTTGATAATTGTATCCACATTATAAATCTAATATAAATATTATACAAAAAATAGGTTTTCACCATCCGTGTATTTTGTTTTGTTGTTCATTGTTTAAAAAAATTAGTCTAAAAGGAAGAAAAAGGCAATAAAAAATACTTTAATATTCCCTTTGAAAATTAACATAAAAATATGAGAAATTTTTTTAAGTTTTTAATTTTGACGATTTTAAAACAAAACGCTAAAACAAATTTTGTGCACATAAAATCTAAATCATCTTGCTGAATTTTCCTTTTTTTACTTGGACGAAGTATCTTTTAAAATTGTATTTTTAAGACGCTACTCCTGTGAGCTATTAAGAACACCATTTATAAAATGTCATCATTTCAGTACATCAAAGTCTATTATTTGAAAATATAGATTAATATTTTTTATAACGGTAATAACTATATATCTAAGAGTATTTTTTTAAAACGAATTTGATATTCTCTAAAATGTTATCTTCTTTCCACTATTAACTTTCTAATAGTTTCACTTTAAATCCTCATGGGTTGAATAAGATTTAAGAACCATTATGCGTAGTCAAGTTTAGAAGCTTGGAAATTAAGCGGATATAAAATCTAACTTTAACAACGACATTTAGCTGAATACTTTTACCTAATTTCTATTTTGTATAGTGTAACCTAAGTTTTATACTATGCAATTTAAATAGTCAACGGACTTATTTTTTTTTTTTTGACAATCCTCGGTATAGTAAAATTACTGTAATTTTGGCAAAATAATCAACCTTTCTAGTTTGATTTCTATCTTCTATACAAAAAAATCAGTTGGCGGTCAAGGAAATATTGTGAGGGTCAAGTAGAAAAATGTTTATACATATAGATGTATATATTTATAATATTAAAATGGCCCCGCAAAACTATAACCTTCTCATCTCTAAACCGGAGGTAACTGTGACTAATATAAAAATGTATTATTATTCGCAGATAAAAATGAAAATCTTCTGTTTATTAATATCTATATTCTTTGTGAAAGTGTTGGCAGTTTATGGTAGTTATTTTATTTTCACAGTAATTAACTTAAGGTAGTTAAAATTTGAAAAAAACTAATATTACACTTTTTTTACAGATAGTTATATGGGTTTTCTTCACCTTACAAGTCAGTAACAATTTTAATTTAAAAAAAAAATGTTTTGTAATTTTTTTTAATTTACTGTTTTTATACATATTTTTAAAATTATGTGTCACAGCTATTGGCATCAAACTTGCTTACGAAAAGAATGATTTAACTGTAGGAAGTAGATCTAGATTAAGTAAGATATTATATTTCAAATAATATGCTAATATATATAGAAACTTTGTCTTACCTAATTTGATTTAATTTTAATATTTTAGTATAGCAAAAATCTTCATTTGTTTATTCTAGATGGATTGGAGTATCTAATTGAGACAATGGTTGATAATGTCAAAAATGACCCGACCTACCAAGATTTCCGTAATCATAGTTATAATAATAATAAAAAACTTCAAGATAAGAGTAGAAAACTATGTTTGAAAATTATATAAAAACTTCATCTCATATTCACTTAATGCACCTGAGTTTTATAATTATTATATTTTTCACCGAAATTTAAATAGAAGCTTTATGAAAAAATACTGATGTTAGCCCAATCAACCTCAACTGATGAATATATTTTATTCTCATAGCCTAAAATACATCAACTAGTCTATATAATATAGTTTTTTCTAGTTTGACTTTCGTCTAAGAGTTTATAAATATATAATGTAATAACTAATAATTTATTATAGCAAATTCAATTCAATATCATTTATTTATTTAATGTTAATTTCAGGCCATATTAATTTTTTGATGGCTGTACCGGGTAATAGATTTTGTTAAATTTTATAAAATTATCTCCAATATTTCATACCTATTGAATTCTCCTATGAGACTTTCATCGTATTGAATATACAGTGAAGCATACTTCTTCCAAATTACAAGCACACGAGTTTTTCTTCCTTGAAATTCATCTTCCTGTCTATAATAGAATACAAAATTAAATGCAATAACATTAATTTTTGTGTTGTTAATTTCAGACCATAGCGAAATTCTCTCGAGAATATCAGGTAATAATTTGCATTGCCTTTTATGGAAGCGTTTCCAAACAGTTGTTTGATATCATTTATGCACACACGATTTTTGTATTAATTTCAGAACTTCCAGGTCAATCAAAGAAAAGTAAAAACCTTTTTTATATATAATATTTATTATACATATTGCATATTTATTATTTATAATTACTTTCAGAATAAGAATATGTACTTAGTGTCAAATACCAATATGATATATCGGTTTCAATAATAAAATATATGTGGGTATATTCAAATGTATTTTCTTTTAAATTTTAGATGCCAACAAATTCTTCAACAAACTGCTTCATGACTTAGTTAGTGTAGTAGGTAAATATAAAAAAGAATGTATTTTTTAATTAAAAAAAAAAAAATAGTCACAAATTTTTTTAGTTTTAATGAAAAACTAAAAAAAAATGGAAATCTATATGTGTTTTATGGTTAAGCTTTTAAGAATCATTCAAAATAAAATTTAAACCGTTTATTTAAAAATCGTTATAAGATATAAATTTACATTTATACATTATATTTTGCATTAACTAATATTGATCTAATTAACCTAAGTTATAGAGTGAATGTTATGTATAAAGTTTATAAACCGGGACTTATTAACTGCGTAATAATTTGATGTTTGATGTGTTTGCTACAGGAGTTGATATGGAAAGACGTTTCTCTGCTGGTAATTACGATTTGTTTGATATTCATAAATAGCCTTTAAAGCTTGTTTTATAGTTGATCTTTGCTTAAATTTATTTTTTATGTCAAAAAACAATTGTAATAAATTAAACTTTTTGTGAGGAGAGAGGGAGAGACAGTGAGACTACAGTGTTAATGTGTAATAAATTCTTTGGGATTTGAAGTATAGAAAGAGTACATTTGTTGAAGTTCAACAATAACATGTGGTTGCACAAAATGTTGGTTGTATCATAATTAGCGAATAATATATTATTTATCTTAGTTATGTCTTCGCAACACGGTCTTTTAATAACTATTGTCATAGATGGGAAAACATTGGAAAACCTTGCAAACACGAGTAGAGAATTTGTTGCTTTAGCTGTAAGAAGTATAATCAGACGTCGTTTATTAGGTAAATATTATTATGGAGTTGTATGATCTTTGAACTCTATTAATATATATATAATTTATTTATATTTAATGTGAACAATTGGATACAACTGAATTTAATTTTTAACAATTAACTAAATAAATTATAAGTACTAAAACATACTTTCATGTAATTCAAATATCATGGCTGTTCAATTATACGACACCAAGCTTATTGTATTATTTTTTTATGACTTCGTATTGACAAATCAGATAGTTGTATCCTGCACCATAAACAAAAGTAGTAAACTAGTAATCTAATATTAGCATAATAAAAAAAAAAAATTAAATTTTTCAGGTGTACGAGTTGTAGATGATATAGCATCTTTATCATCGAATTGTCGTTTGCTAGGAGTATACTTTAGTACCCAATCTCCAAAACTATACATAAAAGACGTTATGATTGAGTCAACTAGCGGTACATGTATCTTGAAGGATAAAAATAATACTTTAAGGAAATACAGGAAAATGGATGGCACATGGTCACAAATAGGCTTAAATAACCAAGCAGGAGAATCACTCGAGACACAGCTACAACGTGGACGTCCATAATCTCAACCCACACGGGTCACACCCTAATCTAATGTTAGAAAAAAATTGGTATCTATATTATATTCATTCCATAATATAATTTTATTATTCACCTTATCATTGTCACATTTTCATTATAATATCTAATATATATACATATAATTAAGCTGACGTGAAAAAAACGGTTGATGAATTTTTTCAATAACGTATTCCACATTATACATTTTTATGTACATGATATTGTACATGCCTATTTCTGTTTTACGCCATGTCTACCAATAAAAAAAATAATTACCGAATAAGTAAAGTTGTATATTTGTATCTAATCTACCTTTATTAAATGACTGTGCTGGTTTGGATGACAGGGTCATTGTTTATTTTTCTAATGGATAATGTAGCCTAATGGTTATTATATATAGATTCGATATTAGAGGTATCTAACATAACCTATATGGAGTTCTAACGTTGGTGCCTAAATAAAACAGTGTAGAATATATTATATATAAATAGGCAGTTTTGGAAAAAATATCCTGGCTGGTCAACCACAATATTATTGAATTTACTTAAAATATATTATTGAAATAAGAACAATGCAGGATACGAAAAGTAATCCTACATAATATTTTAAATCAAAAAGAATGTCAATTTAAATTTTTTTTCCAACGCATTATTGTGTGGTAAATTTCAAGTTAGTAAAATTGTTTTTGTGGATGTGTATTGATTTAAAGAAGTGTTTTTTGTGGGCTTCAACTAATGTCTTAATATACACAGTGCTACGAAACTAAAAAAATAAGACACTAAAAACAATGAAAATTTAATGTGGTTTTGCACATAAATTCAAGGTCTCTTATATAATCTTTTACTATACAATTTGTATTATGCTAAAACCGGAGAAAAACCGACAGTTGTCCTACAATGAAGATTATAATAAAAAAATGATTGCACCAAAGTATGGTTATAAAATAACTTTTGCCTAATTTGGTTTACTAACTTAATTAATTTGGTTAACTATTTATTTAGCAGATTGTGTTATTTAATTAGCAAGTTCACTAAATGTATTTCGACATACCTAACCGCTTGATAATTCTTACACTAAAATGGCAAATTTAATGTTTTTATTGAGTTTTTCATGTGAAAAGATGAATTTTAATACTATATACGTTTTATAATTTTATACAATTTTGAACACAAGATTTGAAAATTCTAATACTAGACTTGCTTTTAGCTTTCTATTCGATAGCTGAGAAGAAATTGTATTTATAAATTATAATCATATTGCCTGTACACACGATATAATTTTACGCTACTGAACCGGCGCTCCATTTTTTTTTGTAAATAGTTTAATTAGTTTCAAATTTGTATAAAATATTCTTTGGGCATAATACTACCGACAAACGTTGACAACCTAATCAATGCCCTGACCTCACTGTACTAGCTTTTTCAATTTACAAAAACTAAAATTTATTACCTCATGTTATAAGAATTCAAACACATTTTGTAGACATGTTACTTCTAAAACTCGATAATGTTATAATCAAGAATAAACTTAAAATTGAAAATCTGATTTTTTTTTTCTAACTTTAAACAATAAGTACAAGCAGTAGCATTTTTGAAATTTATTTTAAAACAAGAATGGAGAATCATGTTACCGTAGTCAACACGTGTTTGATGAAATCTATAATTGGTAAAATAATGAAATAACAAAATTAGCATAGACACTTTTACCGAACCCGTAAATATGTCCGTGGTCGGTAAAGACAAAATTTGAATTTTTTTTTTTGAAAACTTTTTTTTTTTAAATTAAATATGTGTCTGTTTAAAATCTACTCTCCGGCCAAAAATATGATTTATTGTGTATTACCTACTGATGGCACTATGATTATTAACAGATAACAAACAGGTTTCCATATACTTTTTACACTTATCGTCAAATTATTACAACAGATTTTCTAACAGTTATCCTTTGTCCATAAGGGATAGTGTATTTTAATTATTTTTGTTTTAACAGTGTCTGGAACTTCGATGTATTATATTCCAAACCACTAAATTACTTTATTCAATTAGGCGCAGTTCGTAGATGAAAGGTACTTTATTGGGCTTAAAGGGGTTATTTAAAGTTAAGGACTAAGCCTACCCAATTTCTACCCTCCTTAGTTCACTTATAATAACCTCTGCTTTAAGCTGTAAGTTATCTTCCTTTCCTTTTAGATTCCGCTTGTCTCATATTTCCTGTTTTATTAAAGTGTATTTTCTTTCCATGTCCCAGGTAACTCTCAGATCAGTTAAAACGGGTTGATTCCATTGCTAGATCAAATGTATCTTTCCCTAATCTACATGGATTTCTCATCCCTAGTTAGAACTTTGTTCAGCTCTACCAAAAAGTAAATAGTTTACAAGTGAGGCAAATGGTCCTCCCGACCATTTCAATATGTCATCGTCTTAACAGTCCTAATATCAGACCAGTACCCTTTGCCTTGGTTACACGGTTTTAGTGTTATACCACAATATATTTTTACTTTTTTAGCCCGTCGAAGATTTGTCAGTCGTTTCCGATATCTCTTCTCATTTCTCTTAATTTCTCGCCGTACTGCACTATACACGGAGTACCTACTAAACGTGATTGCCCCCATCCTTTTTTTTTATTGTCCTACTCTCTCTTCCAACATTCTTAACCCCTGTTCTGTTCTCATCATATCAAATAATATAACATAGGTAAAACTATAAAATATTGTTGAATTTTTTAAATTTATGAATCTATTCGTTTACTATGACATCATACAGATTTGTGTTTAAGATCAATATTCTTTCGATTTTTACAACAGTAGCATCTAATAAACATTAAAATATTTAATAATAATTTATATATTTTGTTTTTTGTATCCAGAACAATTGTAACGTGTAGAACGGGATTTTTTTTATTTCAACGTGTACAGAATTCTTTAACCAGAGGCCCAAATTTGAGTTTCCAATTGATAATGTGTTGGATATAATTTTATACATTGAACTTTCGTTGTATGACATGCGCTAGTATATTATTTACCTTCAGTTCGTAACGATATGGAATAACATAGGTATAAGCAATAATAATAATACACACAAAAATGCACAATAACAGTCTATGTAACCAGAATTTTTGTACTATTCAATGCGTTAGACATAAAAGACCTTGAATGTATTGTGTGCAAAAACACAATACATTTTCATTGTTTTTAGTGTCTTTTATTTGTTTAGTTTTGTTGCGATGCGAATAACAAAACATGAGTAATAGCCCACAAAAAACTCTTCTTTAAATCAATACACATCCACATAAACAATTTATCAAATTTGAATTTAGCACACAATAATGCGTTGCAAAAAAAAATATGAAATCGACATTCTTTTCGATTTAAAATATTACATAAGATTCATTTTCGTACCCGGCATTGTTCTTATTTAAATCATTATTAAGCCAATCCAATACCATTGTGGTTGATCAGTCAGGATATTGTTTTTCCTCATGTAATATATTCTACACTGGTTTACTATCAAATCTCTATATAATAACTATTAAAATAAGTTATCTGTTAGAAATATTAACGACGAACCTGTCGCCCAAATTTGCACAGGCATTTAATAAAGGTAGATTAGATACGAAAATACAACTTTACTTTTTCGGTAATTAATTTTTTTATTGTTAGACATAACACAGAAATAGACATATAATATTATTTACTTAAAAAAAAGGAATTATGTGGAATATGTTATTGGAAAAATCCACCGACGGTTCTTTTCCCGTCAGCTTTAGTACACGCATAATATTTTAAAATTTTAGATTTTATGATATATATAGTGATAATAATAATATAAATTATAATATATAATGTAAAGAACAGAATATAGCTGCTAGGGTTTTTCTAACATTAGGTTAGGATGTGGGGGAAACTTGTGAATGTTCAAGTCGTAACAGTTCCTCAAGTGCATCGACATCATCTACACTGTGTCTCTTTTTGTGACCATTTTTATCCTTAAAGGTACAAGTCAGTTGAGTCGACTTCAATTTCTGTTATGTATGAGTCTGGAAATTGTGAACTCAAGAATAATCCTATCAAACCACACTTGTCAGGTATAGAAGGGTCATATTCACGCTGTACAGAACTAGCTAAAAACATTGAAAAAAATGTCTTTTAATTGCTTGTATTAACCCACTAGTTTTTATATTTTTATTTGGTTTATCTATATATAATATATATATAATAATTTCGTTAAAACAATTATACAACTCTATAATAATATTTACCTAATATACGACGTCTCATTATATTTGTTAATGCTGGAATAACATGTTTTCTTCTCTCGTCTGCAATGGTTTTCAATGATTCCAAATCTATGAAAATAATTAGTTACCCTGTTGTTAATGAGTAATAAAAATAAATAATGTTTTAGTAGCTCTTTATAAATAATTATTCCATTATATTTCAAAGAATTGCGATACGATTAACTTTTTGTACAACTACTTATTATTGTTGAAATTCAAAGATTATGCTCTTTCTATACTTAAAATCCCAAAGAATTTATTACACATCAATATTGTAGCCAACTTTAGTTTGTTGAGGTGAAAAAAATATTCGTTTTTCTGCATAATTTATAATAACAACGTTCAAAATATCACCTTTAATTGTTACTAAGTCTCACTCTCTCTCCCTCTCTCCTCGACAAAAAGTTGAATTTAATTAAAATTGTTATTTGAGATAAAAAATTAATTAAATCAAATTAAGCTAATATCAACTCTTAAACAATCTCTTGAGGCTATTTACGACTGTAAAAAAATTCGTAATTACCTTTATTATGTCCGGGTAATTCAATGTCTGTAAAATATACATCAAACATTTATAAAATTAATTATTAAATGACTGTGTGGCGAAGAAATAGTACAAATTATAATAAAAAATATAAGTCGCTCTTTATACATAGTTATTGCATTACATTTCAAAGTATTGCGATATAATTAACTTTTTGTACAACCACTTATTAGTGATGAAACT